TCTAGGAATTTCATAAATGTCAAATGCTTAAGTTTGTGCCTCTTTTTTCTTTTTTTGAGAATTCACTCATGTAACTTTCTAAATAGGCAACATGATTACTGAAAAAAGAAACTGTGCGATTATTTGTAGAAATAAATTATTGCGGCCTCTGTAAGCGGGAAAACTAAGGTGATTATGACGTATTTTGTTGGTGTAGTCTATCAATGTTTGGATGCTCTAGCCGTCTTTTCTTTTTGAGTGTGAACTTTTTTCCTCTGTAATTTTTATTTTAATATTTGTTATCAATACACAAGAACATGGGTCCAACACTGTCTGCCAATGCAGGACATCTGGGGAAAGGTGGGAACAACAGGCATGATGCAGTAAGCTGACATTTCACTGCGTTTGAATGGGGAATAAATTGAATTTAAACACTTTATTGCAAAGTATGTTTTTTTTTTTTTATATCTTACCTGTTAAGCTTAGGAGTAATTATCTCAAGGGATATTTTGAGTTAAATCATCTTAAATGAGATATTCTATGGTTTCAGTGGGTGTGTCCCAGCCCATGGTTTTTGTAACTCTGTGGTAAATAGCTGTTATTAGAGATGTCAGAATATTTAACCTAATTTCCTGTAAATAACATTCATGAAAATAAAATGGTAAAAAAAAAAATAAACATTATCTGTTGATTTGGAATCAGCAAGGTGACTGACTGCTTAGTGGTGACCATTAGGGTGTAACTGTAATGAGCGAATTGGCTATGTTCCAGTCCCAGCACTGTGTGAGCAGTTACACTAATTCTCACTTTTTTCCTTCTACAGCATTTATAGGCATCATTTTACAGTTTCTGTTAAATATAAAATTTTGTTAAAAAATGAGAATTAGTGCAGTGGATCGTTCTTTATGATAAAGGCAGTTTTGTGGCTCAGTTTTAAAAATTAAAAATGCAGTCGGAACCATGTTCTCGTGTATTAGCAGTGTACTTTCAGCAACGTGCAACCCTGTCTCCCTGCAGCTGTATGTGTTAACTCACGTTCCTAACAGGAAGTGTGAAAGGCTAGAAATGTCTGTTGAAGAGGGGGAAATTAACACAGGAATGAAGACTGCATGGTGCCATCAAATGAAATATTGCAAAAAAGATGGTTGCACTGTGTTGAACTGTATCTCTTGTTCTGGATTGCACTGCATTGTTAATGTACAGGATGTACTTTGACTGTGATTGATGTTTTTTGTTGTCAGCAGAGGCAAAATCATTTTTTAAATTGTTCCTGTAGCTCTTTTTCCAGATTGTCAATAAAAAAGAATCTGCTTTATTTAAGCTGTGGGATTTGTTATTTGTATGACTTTCTGGACTATGTACCTCAGAATTCTTCAGATCTTACCTTGTGCCCTTGTTCAGACCACACCTTACTGTTGGGCAGCATGTGGGAATGTGGTGGTAGCAGTTTGTGGCAAACAGAAATAGTGTACTGCCATTTTTACCACCAAACCTGTGATCTGTTGAGCATGGGTGACTGTGAGAGTATTCGAGGGAGATAGCCAGTGATTCTCTGGGCCAGATTTCAGAGAGCAGTCCAGGATGTTTGATTTTAATGACCTTCAGACAGTATGGCTGCTGTGCTGTAGTTGTCTTGCTTGCAGTTTACTGTAAGATAAATTTTGGGTCTTGGAAGCTCTTTGCTTTCATCCTTTATCACCAAAGGAGACCTCAAAGGCCTTATGAAAATCTGATCTAGAAAGAAGGCAACCTTCTGCAACCACAGATCCATCCTTTTCCTGTCATTAGAGGACTTCCTGGTGCTGTATATCCCAAACTGTCTGCCCTCTGGTTATTTTGGACGTGTGGCAGTGTAATCCCAGCTGACAAATGAGTCACTCTTTTACCACACCCATCTACACATCAGGTAATGTTTAACCGGATAATAAAAGGCCTACATGTTCTGCTGCAGATATGATTAAAGGTTTTTTTCACAGTGGTGTTGAGCTGAAGGTGACTGCCAGCCAGCAGTGACTGTTTTTTTCTCTCCATGCTGGTTTGAGTGAGGTCACAGTTAAATCAGTGTGAGGTCACTGTGGTAGGTTCTACAGCCCTAGCTGGTTTGTGTGACCTGTATTAGGGAAAGAATCTTATCACTCGACCAATCCATTTAGTCTCGGCGTTGCTCTACCGCGTTCTTTGAGATTGTGAGGAGCTTCCTCATTGCACAGATAAATAGCACATCCAGTTCACAGCTCAGAACAAACACCTAGAGATGCTCCATGGGAAAAGAAAGCTGGGAATGTGTTCGAGTTTGACCAACCAAGCATTGCTAAATCTGCCCCCGAAAGGCCATGTCACTGGTGTGTGCTTGGCATAACCAAATAAGCACCTTTCCTGACATTCAGTTTCAAATATGTCTACAATTTTTCTTGATATCAAGCTCCAGTACATGTTGTACATGATGTACATGTTAAATGATAATTGTACTGTATGCGACTGATCTTTCATCAGTGGACAAGTTTAGAAGCTGTTTGTTAGTTGATAAACAAGTTGTCATTGTGTTCCGTCTCAATCATGAGTTTTTTCTAAAGAGACACGTATGAAATGATCGCTACAGCCCTAAGGCCCATCTGTGATGAACTCCAGTGTTTAACATACTGTACTGTCATCCTGTATTGCACAGCGGCTAAGCTTTTGTTCAGAGAGACACAGGAATCTTCATGTGCGTCACTACCACCTGAATCAAGTTTGGTCTAGCATATCTCTTATCTGCGATTGTCAGGCATTCAATATGTGAAGGCATGCCTACCCTAAAGAACATCCCTGGCAGCAGAACAAAAGCTGTACAGAACACAGGACTTGTTTAATTTGATGAAGTGAAATGGAGGTTTTTCACTCTCCCTGTCCGGCTTTTCATGACACCTTGTTGGCCTTGTTCTTTGGAGGGGAAACAAAGTCAGCTGGGCCTAAAAATAATTTTTCTCTCTTCCCTCCTCAAGTGCTCCCTCCTTCCAGCTCAAACCTGTCCCACCTGTTTGCGCGTCTCTCTCTCTCTCTCTCTCTCTCTCTCTCACTCTCTCTCTCCCTGACCCATCCTCCTAGCTTGTCATGACTAGCAGAGACTAGCAGGGGGGAAGGTTCCTCCATGTTAATGTTTGACAAGAGAAAAGAGGGCTGAGGCCGGCACCACTCTTTCTCTCAGACAGCCGCAGGTTTATCCGTTTTCGGTTTGTTTTTACCTTAGTATGCGGCCTCTGCTGACTGCATAGCAGGGATTCAAGTCTTTGGAAGAGTCGCCGGGGGAATAAAGGAACGTTCTTCAGGGAACCATGGGTAAGGTCACCTGCTGTGCTCTTCTGGTCCTTCTCTTCTGAACTCTGGAGTTTGTGTCAATATTCGGCTGTTCCGTGTGCAAGGGACAGCATGTCAGTGAACCAGCTATTTACGGCGGCACTCCAAACATCCTGGTTTGAAAGCTCCTTTATGACAGATGTTAAGCATTTCATTTGCCTGTACTGGTATATTTGCATATGAAACATAATATCCTGGCCGATTCTCCAGTGAAGTATGAACGCATGATAGCTGTATAGCAGCTGTGTTCGCCAGGCTACATGCTAGGTGTTTTCTCAGAGGGTTTTTCCCCATAGTTGGGGTTGTCCTGCACCATTCCAAAACAGAGGCAAGGATAAACAAACTCCAAGCGGGCTTCCCCCGCTTCGAAATGTCCTGCCATGAAAAACAGTGTCACAGTGACAGCGGTAGCGTGACTCCAGAGACCAGGCTGCACTGTTATGGTCCACAACAGACAGTGGGTCATCGGGGGTCTCTCAGCTGGACAGTCCATATTCAAACCACCTGTCGAGGAACTCCCTGGCTCCCCCCAGCTAATCTGAAAGGGGGACTTCAGAACAACCTAGAAACGGCTATGTAGATAGAGTAAAATGTGTGTATTGTAGTATATAGGCAATTTGACACTAACTAGGCCAGCAACTGCAAAATGTTCTGACGGTCTGTTTCACTGGAGACTAGAGGCTAGTATAGTATGTGTTACTGGCAGTGTGGGTGGATATTGTGTAGTATGTTTTTCAGGAGGCTGGGGGCAGATATAGTATGTTTTACTGAAGATTTGGGGCAGATACAGTATAGGTTGCCAGAGACTGGAGGCTGGTATAATACGTTTTGCTGGAGACTCTGGGCTGGTGTGGTATGTCTTGCTGGAGTCCAGGGGCAGACACTGCGTATTGTGAAGGGGTTTGGGGACGGGTGGCTTTCGGTGTTGCTTCCTGAGATCACAGGAGTTGAAAACTGTTTTCGTTGGGCTGGGAACCTCAGAGCCATATTCCTGCTGTGAGGTCAACACTGGAGGTTTTAGTAGGATCAAAGATAATGACTAGAGCTGGTAGACCCAGTAAAACAATGCATTAAATATTAGCTTTAAAGGATGAGTAACAAATGTCAGCGCAGTGCAGGAAATTACATTACAGCAAGATGTGCTGTTGCTCAGTGTAAATTAAAGGGAATTTGAAAAGAACTGAACTTCAACAGAGGGAAAATTACAAGCCTGTCTTCATGATCAACCAATAGCCTTAAAATAGATGGGCAAATTATGGTATTAATACCAACATAAGATATCTGAATTTACTTTCATTATCATCTTGCTTTGAGAGATACTCATTTCCTCTTAAAGTACTGAAAGAAGCTACTTGTTTTGGTTTCCTTGCCCTGAATGGCTAATCTGAAGCCTTGTGATTGTGCATAGATTTGCAGACATTGAGTAAGCATTAGAGACTGCGGGTTTTAAAAAGGGTTTGCACTGCTGTTTCAATGACAGCGGATCTACAGAGGCATTTCTTCTGCAAAACACGTGAAAAGCTCTCTGAATCAGCGCAAAGGCTATTCTCGTGGTCTGAGTGCAGAACTGAAAAAGCCCTCTTTACCCTAAAGTGCACCTGTTTACCGTAGCTCTTTTGTTTCTTTGTTTACTGTAATTCCGCTGCTTATATTTCATAAAGTTATTGTTAAACTAGAATGTAATGGGTGGCTGTGTAGCATAGTGGTTAAGGAGCAGAGCTTGTAACCCCAAGGTTGCTGGTTCAATTCCCCACTGGGGCACTGCTGCTGTACCCTTTGAACAAGGTACCTGCATTTGCCTTAGTACGTAGGCAGCTGTATAAATGGATAATGTTGTGAATAAAACTGTATCTTATGTAAGCTGCTCTGGATAAAAGCATCTGCTAAATGCCAATAATGTAAGAAAAAAAAAATATATATATATATAATGATAGAACTGGCTTTTTACAGCTTCTCTAAAATGTCCAGGCAGATTCCACCTGCACAGCTACGTGGATGTGAGGCTTTCACTAACTTTCCATTCCCTCACAAGTAGCCGGGAGCAATAATAAAGAATAAACCTGATAAAACTGCATACAGACGTGAAAAACCATGGCACTCGTCTCCAGGTAATACAGCCAAGATCAGACAGTTCCACACTGATTCCAGTCTGCTCCAGCTGTGCATAGCCCGGCCTGTGCAAACATGCTTCTGTCTTGCAGAAAGGGTGTACATTATGCAGCAAATAAGCTCACATCAGAGCAAGTAATATGGTGTATATGGCTGGTATATATCATCTGTCAAAGATGCCGTTGATTTTTCCTTTTAATAATAAAGGGCTTCATGGTTAAAATGATTAAATGCTTTTAGGAGGACACTTGCACAGTCACAGGGCATGGCAGCTGGAGTGGGGCATTGTGGGTAAGGATGCCACTATGCCACAGGTTCATGAGCTGGTTTAACTTTTACTGACCTCTCTTTTCTTTCTCTTCCTCTCTCTTTCTCTTTCTATCTCCCTCTTTCTTTCTCCATCTCTCCATCTTTTCTTCTTTTTCTCTCTCTCTCCCTCCTGCTTTCTCCATCTCTCTTCCTTCTCTCTCTCCCCTTTCTCTCTTTCCCTCTTTCTCTTTCACTCTCTCTCCTTTCGTGTTTATCCTTCTCTCTCTCCTTCTCTCCCTCTCCCTCTCTCTCTCTCTCTCTCTCTCTCTCTCTCTCTCCCTCTCTCTCTCTCTCTCTCTCTCTCTCTCTCTCTCTCTCCATCTCTCTCTCCTTCTCTCTCTCCCCTTTCTCTCTTTCCCTCTTTCTCTTTCACTCTCTCCTTTCGTGTTTATCCTTCTCTCTCTGTCTCTCTCCCTCTCTCTCTCTCTCTCTCTCTCTCTCTCTCTCTCTCTCTCTCTCTCTCTGCTTCACTCTCTCTCTCTCCCTCTCCCTCTCTCCCTCTCTCTGCCTCGCTCTCTCTCTCTCTCTCTGCAGAGGTCCTCGTCCTCATCGACTTCGAGGGCAACATGCGAGACGAAATGACGATCCACGTGGGCGACGTGGTGAAGAACGTCACCAAGGCGACGGAGGAGGGCTGGCTGGAGGGCGAGCTGAGGGGGAAGCAGGGGATATTCCCCGCCAACTTCGTCAAGGTGCCCCGCCCCGCCCCCGCCACGCCTTCCCTCACATCCCAGACATCCGCAGGAGATCCTTAGCATGACATCAAACAGCTCCATGGCCTCAGTGCTTTCAGCAGCCTGGAGGCGTTCATTTCAGATGCTTATGTCTGGAGTCAGTGCAGTCCCTTCATTCCGCTTCTTGTCTCTCCACACAGGAGGTGCCCGTCTACCTGATAGGGGACAGCAAGCGTGAGCCAAGGAGCCTGCGAAAATGTGAGTGCCTCCGCCCCTTTAAGAAAAGCTCACTGCCCTTTGGACGCATTCTGCTTCTAATCTGCACTCCCATCATCACCTGTAACACTGCAGGCCAAGATAATGATAAGGCCAAAGATCTGTCACTGTTTTACAGCACCTAGTCAAGAAGCGTAGACATGGATGTGTTTGGGTTTGTGGGTATTCAGAGGCAGGTGTTCCTCTAGCACAGCAAACACAGACAAGCAATTAAAGGCCTATTGTGCTTTCATGCTGGCCTTAGCTGGCTGGGTAATCACAACAGAAGAGTAATTATAACACTCAAAAGGGGAAATGGTTAAAAATAACAATACCCACTATTATTTAAGAGCGTGCTTGTTTTGAGGAATTAGGTGTGAGATACACACACAAAAATATGGGGGTTTCCACCTTCTTCCTGTGAAGTTTCAGGTCAGTCACCTTTCCTGGTGTGTAATTTATATTTTGAGGAAGTCTTCTGGGTTTTGGTGTTAATGCACTGTCAGGTTACTGTGCAACATTTATCTTTACCGTTGTAATGCTACCGTTGCAGGAAGAAGGAACTCCCTCCCTTCAGGTGTATATGCATAATTGATAGCTTTAATATAACCGGCCTGCCTCCTCTGATGATGAACATCCACTAACAAGCAGGGTTTTATATGTCCTGGAGTATTTTTCCTCAGTTGTCAAAATGAACAGTCATGAATACTCAAGCATGGCTCTATGTGTGTAGCACGTAGTGTATGATACCACTCTGAAGGCTACATGACATCTTGAACAGCTACCATAGGGATGAGCAGGATGTGAAATACTTCAGGCCAAGTCAGTGTAGGATAGTCCCAGATCAACCGTTGCCAGTGAGCTGCAGGTAAGAGAGAAGGAGAACTCACCTGTATAGTGATAATAGTGACCATATCTAATGTGGCATCTAATCTTGCCTTCTGTGCAAGTTGCATGAAATAACTTCATTTATACTGGAAAACACAACAAAATGTACAAAATCATACTCAAAATGATATGTAACCCAGTCTATTTTGTTATCAGCTTTTTTCCTGTTGGGAGATGTTTGAAATATTTTCAATCAAAAGGATTGTTTCATTGAACACGCCTGCCAACTGAATAATTATGTTTTGGCATAAACTGGTTCAAACACCTGGGCGTGACTTCACATGAGTGTACAAGAAATATAAAAATGATAATCCCCAAAGCATATAAAAGAAAATCAGGCAAGGCAATATTTATGAAGCAAAGGCAAAATGTTACCTTCAGGCCAACACATTTCACCTTTATCACCTCAGTGGCCCTGTTAACCTGCTCTCTCAGAGAGAAACATTTTGGGGCTCAACCTTAACCATTTGGTGTCCTCAATGACTGAATGGAGAGTTCATCTAGAGGCCTTTTATGTTGAACATATTGTACTGGTGCCCATCACATGTTTTTGTTTTTGTTTTAATTTCTTGATTGAGTGAGTAGATATGATAACTGATGTGTTTTGCATACTAGTGCCTGTTATCATTAATTTATTGTTTGCAGTTCTTGCTATGGTAATTAATTGTTTGAAAGTGCCAGTCCTAAATTACACAGTGCTTCTCATTATAAATGACTTCTGAATATTCATTGAATGTGAATCAATGCTTATTAAAACACTAGTTGCTTTATCGCAGTGCCTGTCTTACAGTCATTTGATGGGGGTGAGGGATGTCTACATTAGGATCTACATTAGGACATTAGGTTGTTTCCTGTATTGTCATTAACTGAACCCCGACGTCTTTCCAGCGAAAGTCGCAAAGCAAACCCGAAAGTGTGAGGTGGCTTACGCGTACACTCCCATGAATGACGATGAACTGGAGCTGAATGTGGGAGAGACCATAGAAATCATTAAAGAGGTAAATGATTTCTCAATCAAACATCTAAAGTAGGCTTCTCTGTGCCTGACATTCTGGCATTTTTTACTTTGCCTTTTCTACAACATTGCAGCATTGTTGCGAGAAGATCAGCTGTTGACGGAGTGGTGGTGTCACTACAGGAATGCAGGATAGCAAGCAAATTGGTGCCGGTTTGCACACAGGCTAACAAAAGAGGGTGGCGTCAAAATATACAGCAGTACTTTCACCCCATCAGATGTGCAACTTTAACTAATGTATCAGTAGAACAATACTAATTTAATCCATTTGAAAATGCTCAAAAACTGCTCACCAGGAGCGAGACCTGTCTGACTAAGATATATGACTGTAGTTATTGACATAGTTCCTTATCCAGAGGCCTTGCATTATGCATCTCACATTTGCTATCTATTTACACAGCCGACTATTTGCTGAAGCAATTCAGGCTAAGTATCTTTGCCAAAGAGACAGTGACCCATTTAGAGTTGAACCCACAAGCCCAGTTCCTTTGCCACTGCATTCCAGCAATGTCAAGGTTCTTTGCATGATTCAGAGCAAGAAAGTACAAAAGGTGGAACCACACAGATGTATGCTATGTGCTTTCCATTATGTCTCTCAGATATGTGTATGTCAGCCCCCCCAACACACACACACACACACACACACAAATCTATTATAAACAGCTCTGTTGAATTTACCTGGATTTATCAAGTTAGTCCACTGATCTGATATAATATTACCCCATAATATGATCACCTTGATCCTGCTAAGTGATCACGTAGTCTTTCCCTAAGAAACATTTTGTCTGTAACTGAGAAGTGCAAACAGATGAACTGTCAAACCTGTTTTTGCAATGCTGGTGCACATGTGATCATCAGGGTTCAGACCTAGGTATTTTTAACCTGAAGTGAGGAAAATGATTTCATAAAAATGTGATGTTTCATACTTCAAAGGTTTTTCTGCTGCAGCTGTGGGGTGTCTGTGTTCCAGGGAATGCGTTTTTGGCTGCAGAAAGAACCATTTTTAATCAGCCATTTTGTTGTTGTCTCTCACTGTCTCTGTCAACAGATTGAAGATGGCTGGTGGATGGGCTTGAAAAATGGGAAGATCGGTGCTTTTCCTTCAAATTTTGTCAAAGAGATTTTCGTCACGCCAAAAGGTGAGACGGCACATTATTTCCATAGAACCCAGCCATTTCCTGAAATGAAATAACTGCCCACAAATAGGGAATATCCACAATCGACAAATGTCATGCCACCTGCAAACACAATAATCATTTCTAAGTGTAATCCCTCTCCCCAGAAATAAATGTGTAATAATATATTTGGTTACTATTATATTTGGTAGAGTTCTTATTACCAGAACTAAGTATTACCAGAGAGCATTTCACATTTGTGGATGGCAGTGGAGGGTTATTGCTTCTGTTGTTTGCATCTGTAGGGTTCTGGAGAGTTGTTTTTATTTCATATCTTGAACATCCTTCCCTCCTGTGGCCTGTCTTATATGAAGTAAATGCATGCAATATTATGGT